CCGACAGAGTGTCCACATCGAGCCCCGGCAGAGTGTCCACATCGAGCCCAGACAGAGTGTCCACATCAAGCCCCGGCAGAGTGTCCACATCAAGCCCCGGCAGAGTGTCCACATCGAGCTCAGACAGAGTGTCCACATCAAGCCCCGGCAGAGTGTCCACATCGAGCTCCGGCAGAGTGTCCACATCGAGTCCCGGCAGAGTGTCCACATCGAGCTCAGACAGAGTGTCCACATCAAGCCCCGGCAGAGTGTCCACATCGAGCTCCGGCAGAGTGTCCACATCGAGCCCCGGCAGAGTGTCCACATCGAGCTCAGACAGAGTGTCCACATCAAGCTCCGGCAGAGTGTCCACATCGAGCTCCGGCAGAGTGTCCACATCGAGTCCCGGCAGAGTGTCCACATCGAGCTCAGACAGAGTGTCCACATCGAGCCCCGGCAGAGTGTCCACATCAAGCCCCGGCAGAGTGTCCACATCGAGCCCAGACAGAGTGTCCACATCAAGCCCCGGCAGAGTGTCCACATCGAGCTCCGGCAGAGTGTCCACATCGACAATGAACATTACATAAACAACATTAACAATGAACATTACATAAACATTATGCATAAAGTTAATTCAACTTCCTTTTTTCCTCAGATAAGATAGTGACAGTTGTAAAATGTTTCTTTGCTCCTAACCTTTATTATTATTATTAATATTATTCACAATAAACCATTTTTCATTTTCCTGTTTTAGTGATTATTGTTTTTTTTTTAAGTATTATAAAATATAATATTAGGCCATGGTCTGTCTGCAGGGCCGGATTAAAAGTATATATATATATATATATATGTATATATATATAGTTCTGGCATGAAACTCTAGATGGCACAGTTCGATAGGTCTAACTCAATCTGACCTAACAACATCATTATCACATGGCACAGCTGATTGTTTCTCTCCTGTATCGGTAGCCAATGAGCATCGCTGCTCAGCATTCAAATATATGACTTGTGCTTGCTGTAGCAGTTTGCAGTGTGCTTCAGAAAGAGCTAAATCAACGTCTAAGATAAGTGAATGCTCTTCTAATCCATATCGCTGTGTGTAAACTAGTGCTGTCAAACGATTTGTAATGTCTTGATTACTTAATTTTAGGGAATTAATTATTATTAATTCATTCAGGGTTTGAAAGGACTCGAATCTGAAAATTCGAGGTCCACCTGATTAAAACTGAATTCAAATTTGATAGTTTACACTTTAAATCAACGGTCGTCCAGCGAGCCGGTGATCTCAGTATATTTTAACAACTTGAATATTTGTATTTCCCTAGCCACGGGTAATACGTTCTTTGATAAGTAAGCTACGAGCTAGGTAACGTGATCTTTGGCAAGGTTTTGACTTTAAAATTATACGACACCAAACAATGATTCTTTATAAATGAAACACGAATTTTATTGGCTATGCTAGATTACATTAAAACTAAGCTAAAACATACACATACACACACATAATCTGAGAAGCTGAGAGGTTTTCTCGTTGCTGACGCAGGCTTCCTGGATGGCTGCTGGATGGAAATTCCGTTGCCGATTGGTTACTGCGGTGACGTCGGGATGATGTCCCTTTTGGGAGATCCCTCGTTGGATTGGTTGGTTGCCGGGTTACGGAAGAACCTCGAAGTTCGTCTGAGAGAGTTGGCTTTAACAAGACTTTGCATTCTGCAGAGTTACGAAGCTTCAACGGCGTAGTTGAGTTCTTAGATGGTCGATCGCCTGATGGTTCAGCTTGCTTGCACAAGTTAGAGTCTTTTGCTTGGCTTTAGGCTTTGAAGTTCGCAGTCGTGGAGTTTCAGCTGAAGTGTTTGAGTTCTGGAGTCTTGCTGTGCGATGTTGCGGCATGGGAGCGCTTGTAGCGCTGTCACCAAAGTGAAAGCCAGAGGTTTTGAGCGAGAAAAAGCGAGCGAGCGCTACAGGGCTTTGTGTCCATTTTAAGCAGGCTGACTTTTGTCCAGCCCACAGGTCGTTGTCCAATCAGATGGTGGCTGCGGGGCTTAGCCACACCCTGTGTTAACACAAGCTCTCACCCGATACTAAACTTCACATATCTTACACACATATTAAATGCTTTGTCTGCTAAAAAGAGTTATAAGGCAAATATTAAAATATCATAGATTCCAATAAACACATCAAATATATATATATACGGCATAACACATACAGTGGATACATTTTCACTACTTATGAGTTTTAAACGCTTGTCTTTTAAAATCGTCATGCAAGGTCCTGTTTCTTTTGTTGTAAGATAAGTTTGTAAGGGTTTCAGACAGTGGCAGGAAGCAGATGGTCAAACGTCATGTGATAGTCATGCATCGATCCTGTGTTGCAGGCCTGGGGGTGTGATTAAATTACTCGTCCTCTTCTTGTTGGATGTAGTAGTTCATTCATTGGTGGTCACAAGACATCACAAGGTATCTATAAGTTGTAGTCCTGATACAAAAGATCTCTGTGTTATCTCTTGATTAGATTGGTTCGTCATCTCATGATGAGTTGTTTCTGTGGCATATCAGTGTCCGTTCATGACAGAAATCCCTACAGATTAATCGCATCCAAAGTAAAAGTTTTTGTTTACATAATATATGCGTGTGTTCTGTGTATATTTATTATGTATATATAAATACACAAACATACAGTATATATTTTGAAAATATTTACATGTATTTACATGTATATATTTAATATATTTATATTTATATTAGTGCTATCAAACGATTAATTGCGATTAATGGCATCCAAAATAAAAGTTTTAAAAGTTTTTATATATATACTGTGCATATTTATTATGTATATATAAATACA